TGCTCCGGTTTAACCTCAATCACTCGTCGCTGCACCCTCACCTTGGTCTCCAGAGCCAGCGGTGTCACTCAGGCCCATCAGCTCTCCGTCTGCGCTGTGGGCTGTCGTCCTAACTGCGCTCTGGGTCTGCAACATCTGGTCACACCACCCATCACCTCCTGGGATGCTCCCACCATCTGCCCCTTCATTTTATCTGGCTGTTATTACCAACCCTTCGCCTACTCCTCGTCCTCCTCCAAAAAGCCACCTCACCTCCTTTTTGTCTCTGTTTTGGTTACGGCGCGAGGTGTCACAGACACTCATTCTTAGTTTCATTATCATGGACTTTTACAGTAGTCAACATTTGAAGTGGATCAAAAAAGTTAATCAAAGTTGTCCTGTATAACTTCATGTAAATTCGTGTATAACTTTGATGAAGGGTTTTGATCCACTTCAAATGTTGTAGTTTGTTTTCACCAGTTTCCCGTCTTCCTTTGTCCAGTTTTCCTGCCACTCTTCAGTTGTCATGGTAACAGATATGATTAGTTTTCGGCAGCTGTGTGTCATTAATTACCCTCGTTTGCCTTTGCTCCTCTTGTTTGTATTGCCTTCTGAGTGGATTATTAAAGATGTTATACCTGATTAACAAGAATTTAAGTTGCATCTGCAAATGAACAATTCAGTAGAATTCATCCTTCAGCTTTTTTCTGACTACAAAATATTTCATTTGTAAATATCAGACCCAGAGCAGCTCAAGCTGTCCATATCAATTTAAATTTTCATTCATGTTCTTGTCTGATCTTGTATCAAGACGTTCTCTAATTGCATATATTTGCACTTGAGAAGATTACAGCAGCGGCTTTCTAAGGATACAAACCTCAAACCGGCGATATAAAAGCAGTCCTAATGTAATTTTACTGCTTAGATTGAGCTGAAACCATACAATATTGGTAGGAACACGGTGCTAATGCAACTGTAGTGCAGGATAGTACAATATATTACAATTATACAATATTTCATATCTGTTGTGTAAGATCTGTTGGCCTTTTATTGCTAGTTTAAAGAGAAATTGGCATTAAAAATGCAGACTGCGAATCATAAGCTGTATTGAATCTCTCATGCTGCCTATTAACCCTCTACAACAGCATCCATGTAAATAAATCATCAGTGACAGTAACCAAGCAAAATGCCCATGAAACCCAATGACACACATCTTATGAAATATAGCTATGACTCCCAAACTCTGAATGTCAAGCTTGAATATTTTACTCAGAAACGACCAAGCATGTGTCAGCAAGCATTTCTAATACTACTTTAATGTTGCACAAATGTTATTCTAATGTTCTTAAAGACTCCCGACAATGTGTATGCATTGAACTCAATTGGGACAGTGATATAACCTGACTTCAGGCTGCTGTCCGTATGTTTCTTATGCCAGAAATGTCCCATGCTAACGGCAACATAACTGAATTACACCGGCGGAGAAGCAGAGAGAAATCAACAATCATTTTGTGGTAGATGCCACCTGTCTGAACATACACTCACAAACTCAATATATGTCTGCAGATAGTATTATGTTCTTCACAAAGGTCACCGCTAAACATGATTTACTGCAATTAACCCTTTACCTGCTGTCTTCTCTCTTTAATCTGTGTTTCACAACGCAGCTTAATCAGTTACACATTTATGCGTTAAAATGTTCATATGGAATATAAAATCCTTAAAAAAGATAATAAAAAAAATAGAGTCAGTATGAGTTTTGGCCAGTAGGGGAGGCTATCAGCAGTTGAAAAAGGGGTTGAAGGGCACTTGTGTGTGTGTGTGTGTGTGTGTGTGTGTGTGTGTGTGTGTGTGTGTGTGTGTGTGTGTGTGTGTGTGTGTGTGTGTGTGTGTGTGTATATTTAAATATGATAACAAAGGTAAATTAAAAAAGGGGTCAGTGAAACTCTTATAGTCAGCTGCTTATCTAAATACTGAGAGGATGAATTCTTCATCATTTCTATTGTGCATAGTTATGCATTTTGTATTATTCAGTGTGAAATTAGTTTGGAAATGTTTAGCCTAAAAATAGCCTGTGATGTGTGATTATTGAACGCTGCTTGTCAGAGCCGTCTAGGAAACACGGTAATGAATCCGAGATAATCTGAAGGTTTGCAGGAACACGTGGATTCTAGTTCATCAATATCTGTAATTATCCCACTGTGTGCTTGTCAACTTCAGCGCTGCCTCATGCATGAATGGACTTGACTTCAACTGATCCCCAGTGTGTGTGTGTGTGTGTGTGTTTTCTGGATCTTTGGGATTCTCCCAGCTGCCAAAACCCCTACTGTCTTTGCATGGAGTGTGTTGACTGAGCATAAAAAAACAGCCAATTCAATATTTCTATCCACCAACATCTGAAAGCGGTGTCAGAGTTATATCAAAAATAAGATATTTGTATATTCATCGTGATATTTTGTGTGAATATGAGTGTGTCCATTATGCGCTTCACTACAAATCGTAGTATTTTTGACCTTAGTTTTAGTGTCTGGTTTCCAGTCAAAATATAAAAAAACTCTTAAATCAAGATGACTTTACTATAAGTAAAATGGCACACGATATTATGTCTTGTTTTCTGAGAGACAAAAAAAATCAAGCAAAATTATTTAGAAAATTGAATCTGGCAAATAATCAGAAAAAGATTCTGAATTCAAACGGAAAGGAGATTATTTTTCTCACCTCATTGGCACATAATTTTGCTTATTTTAAGCAAAAACTCACTTGATTTTGAACCCACCCCCCACACACACACAAGCTGTGGCCATAATTATGTATTTACATACTTTAAGGATAAACTTGCTTTCCTGCTGTTAATGAAGCACAAATATAAATAGATTCCTGAACATACTGTACGCCATCTTGTCATTGTCCTTTTCCTTTGATGCACTGACAACAAAAGAGAAAATATTGTACTCAGTCAAGGTTGCACACAGATAGCACTTTATACAGTCCTGTTCCTCATGTACATACTATGTACGTATTATAGTAATAGCAATAACTGGGTAATAACTAGGTATTAACCCATAACCTACCCCTAAACCAAACATTACCTTATATGACCCAGTCCTTTCTTAGGCAAGTACATGTAAGTGCACATACTGTAAAATAAAGTACCACCTGCACACTTCACAAATCTCAGCATTGTCACTGTTTCATGAAAACGACATATTCAGAGATTTGACTCGTTTGACTTACCTTATGTAGAAGGGAAGTATTGATATTCTTTGCAAAACCTGACCTCCAAAAACGTCCACAAACCCCATTGCATAAACTGACTGACGGACACAAAGCGTTTCTGATTACCGTCCATGGCTATCGCAGAGACATTTCATACAAACAGCTTTTATTTCTTGCGATATCAGTCTGGAAGTAGGAATATTTTATGCCGGGTATTTAAAAAATTAATTTTCCCCAGTGATGTCGTGATGAAAGACAGCATCTGTTTCCGTGCGATTAACACCTGGAACAGTGTGTTCTGTGTACCTCGACTCATACACACACCTTAAGCTCGTTTGTCGTATCTGTTTGCTGCATAATTGTGGTAAAAGCAACCAGCTGTAGGTGAGATACAGGTACAGGGACTCAATCAGCTCATGGATCACTATATAGTGTGCATGAATTCAGGCACTGGGAAGGACAGTGGGCCGTTGCTGGATGCCAGTGATCAAAAATCATAAAGTTATAAATATGGATGTTTCTTACACAAACGCTTCACTTTGCTTCAGACGGCCTTTATTAACCCCATGGAGCCGTATGGATTACTTTTATCGTGGATGGATGCACTTTATGGAGCTTTAAAAACCCGTACACTATTCGCTGCCATTAAGAAGAGCCAGGATATTAATATAACTCTGATTGTGTTTGGCTGAAAGAAAAAGGTCATAATCACCTAGGATGGGTTAAGGGGGGGAGTAAATTATGGGATCATTTTAATTTCTGGGTGAAAATGTCCGACTCCCTGATTACTGAAGGGAGCTGATTGAAACACACCCTGTTTCCCGCGGAGAAGAGAATTATAATGAGGGTTCGCCGCCAAACCGTCTCAGTACAGATGTCAGGTTTGGAGAGAGACACCTGTGAGCCGTACGCCTCAACTCGTCTCGCACCTCTTTCTTACGAGGGACTTTAAGCTTGTTAAAGTCAAATCTACCTCCAGATCATGTCAGGAATCAAACCTTTCTCAGGTCTGCGTGTGGGCCGTGCCATTTATTTTAATGGATAAAGCTGGTTCATATTGGAAGTGCCACATTGTTGGCACTTCTGAGAGATGCAGAGGGGTGAATCTCACAAAACCTGTCAAGAAAAGGTCAAAAATAAGAAATAAGAATTCTCTTTCGCAAAGATTTCCTGCATTTTGATACTCTTTGTAACGAACACTGAGAATTACATATAGGCTACAAACTCAAAAGTAAAAGTTCGAACGCATTATACACTGTTGAAAAAAAGTTGCTGCCTTAAATTTTTAAGTACAATCAACTTGACTATAAAAGTTATTTCAACTTAAATGACATTAAACTGACTTAAATATTTGTTGAATCTTTTATTACATAAAACAAGTTGAAAATTGCTTATTTTGATGAGTTAAAGCAATGTTTTTACAGTGTAGTAATGAACATTTGGAAAAGACAATGTAATTAATTGCCATGAAAATGTCAAAACACCAAAAAGCTTGACCAAAAACATCAGGTTTTGAACACTTTTGTGTAGTTTTCACAGATTTTATAAATATCAATGTCTTATTAAGTCCTTAAATGATCATATGGGCAAAGGTTGTGTATGTTATCATGTTGTGGTTTAAAGAATTATTTCTGTGTGGTATCCTAATCTGTTGTGACTGGAGCGCGCGCACGCCTTTGACTGCAGGATTGCGACTAAACTGCGATCGCGCGCATTCTCTCTCTCTCTCTCTCTCTCTCTCTCTCTCTCTCTCTCTCTCTCTCTCTCTCTCTCTCTCTCTCTCTCTCTCTCTCTCTCTGTTTAGTTCTATCTCAGAGTGAGTCGGGCACCAGATGCCATCACCTGTCGCGAGGCTCAACACTGGTGTGGAGCGAGAGCGCGCACGCAAGAGCTTGTCCTGTGGCTAATTTAACAGACACTGTCGCTGACAGATTCAACAATGTTTTTCAGTGTTTGTTATTTTTACCTACTCTTCTCGTCTCCTTCGTGGGATGTTTCACGCCTCCCTGCGTTTTACTGATACATAGGCTACTCAGGTAAGCCCAGAGGAACATGTTTGTTTATGGTGAGGTTTTGATTTAAGTTCATTTTAGTAAAAAACAACAAAAAACATACAAGTTAAGGAATCTTGTAGTAATAATTGTAGTCTTAACTTACTGCGTTTAAACTTTGAGGGCAGTGCATCTAAATTTCATTAGAATTGACCGATAATGTTCTGTTTTAACCTCACCACAGCCGAATATCACTGCCTGAAATATGATTTTTTTTGTTTCCACGCAGTTTTCAAAGTGTCATTTCTAAACAATAATCACAAATAATGTCTCTGAAGAATGCAACCAGGCGAGAAAAACCGGCATGCCGCCGTTCGTCTCACTGTCTTGAGTTTATATCAAGGTGGAAGCAGATAGTTTGAAAGAAAATGTTTTGTAGTAAGACAGATCCAGTTGAGACCCTCATAAGTGATAAGACCATAAGTGCGTATTTCCTCGTCTGTTCTGCGGGCAAATGTTGTGAGTTGAGGTCCAGCGAAAGTCTACACAAAATACACATGCATGTATGATGTATAAATAATAATAAAATGTGTATTATTTAAAATAAAATACATATGCATTTAAGACAAAATCGAACAGTTGTTCTAACTAACACTTTTTAGTTATACTTAATGTCTTAACCTAATTGTAAAAATCTAGTAATCTGGACTATTCACATACTATGCTTTGTTTACTCAGAAAACCCAAGTTCAGATTAATTGATTGAGTGCTATTTTGTCCACATTTTTTTGAGGCGGGGCAATTCTTAATAGACTTTTCACTCATTTCCTTCACTTCTGCAGTTATATTTCTATAGTTGCATTCACTCATTTCCCAAAGTCATCTTGAATGTTGAATTGTCAACACAACTCACATAAGCTGACTTCATAAATTGATTTTGATTTTCATCATTATGGTGATCGGTGTTCCCTTTGGTTGGGCACTTGGAACTTCATTTATATTATTATATATTTTTAAGGCAATCGGTTTGCATGCTTTTTTAAAAGTAAGTCTAACTAATTATATTTACAGTCTGTGACAAGTTGCCCCAACCCCTTGTCCCGAAAAGAACAGTTCAAACTTTCTACTTTGAAAAAATAGTTGACTCTTGTCTGAATGCATGTCATTGTGGTTTTATTGTGTTGACAATTATTGTTTGAGGATTTACAAATATGGTCTGTGATTTAATTAAATTAGTTTTCAATTTGTGTAATTTGTGTAAATGGACTGTTGACTAAAAACCCCACAGCAACAGAGATTTGATATATAGTGGAGAATTTAGTTGACTGAAATCGAATCAAGTCTCTTAGACTATGATCTGTGCTGCGACAGACAGGTTTGACTTATCTGTGCTCAAATTCAGAGAAAAAGGACTGTAAAAAAAATATTGATCTCTGGACTAATAGAAATACCAGAATCAATGAATGCATTGATAAAAAAATGCATTTTTCATTGCAATTGCTGCAACAAAAAAACAATAGTTAACTGTGTTTTGCCTTTGTACAATAGCTTGAAAAAGCTTATTCGGTCCACTAGATAATAAGTGATTAAAAACCCTTCTAGTCCTCAAGCATTTTGGATGTCTCTTTTTTTTGGCATCCATTTCAGATCTTGTAGTTTCTAATAATGAGCTGTTGAGTTTAATCAGATGTGTTTGAAACAGGGAGGCTTTTTTATCTAGTTTTTTTTTTAATGAATCTCAGAGGTGGTGTGACTAAAATGTGCTCTGCCTCTATGCAGCTCTTAGGAGAGGAAGAAAACAGGAGACAGGGAGCGACAGAGAAAGAGAGAGAGATGCATGCATGCGTTGTGTCACTTCAGTCTCCTTGTGTGGGTTTGCAGTTTTGGCTCTGAACTTTATAGCTGAGGTGTGATCATCTGCACTGATTCAGTCTCTCTGATCTCTCACTGTAAAACAAGCACATTAAATTTACACAAGCCATATTCTGTCCCTCTGACAAACACATACAAACATAACGAGTAACTATGTACCCTGCCACTGAGCTTCATTACACTCTCGTCCATTTCCATCCAGTCACTCTTCCCTTTCCCACATCTAGACTTGTTGTTTCTGACCCTTTTATATCTCTCTGTCCATTCCAGATCCAGCATGGGGTCATTTAACCAATCCGGGTGGACGGGATTCATCCCTGGGGATCATAACTCCTCTTCCACTGGACTGGGATTTTCAGGATCTCCAGTTGGGAATTACACCGGGAATGTGTCAGATCAAAGCATGCCTTTCCAAGGGAGCAGCACGATGGTTACCGCGGTCATATCATTCACTGTGTTTATCGTTGGACTTACCGGCAACACTCTGGCTATCTACGTGGTTTTGCGCTACGCAAAGATGAAAACGGTTACGAACATCTACATTTTAAACCTCGCCGTGGCCGACGAGCTGTATATTTTGGGCCTCCCTTTCCTAACGACGCAAAACGTACTCTCCTACTGGCCGTTCGGCTCATTCCTGTGTCGCGTTGTAATGACGGCGGACTCGCTAAATCAATTCACGAGCATCTTCTGTTTGACAGTGATGAGCATCGATCGCTATTTAGCAGTCGTGCATCCTATCCGCTCCACTAGGTGGCGCCGGCCACGAGTAGCTAAAGCAGTTAGCGCGGCGGTGTGGGCATTTTCGTTCGTCGTCGTTCTTCCCGTGGTGATATTCTCTGACGTTCAGGACATGTTTAACTCATGCAACATGAGTTGGCCGGAGCCGCGAGACGTTTGGTCGACGGCGTTCATACTCTACACGGCGACGCTCGGATTCTTCGGCCCCCTGCTGGTCATCTGCATGTGTTACCTCCTCATCGTAGTCAAGGTGAAGTCGTCCGGTGCGCGAGCGGGATTTACCAAGCGCAGGCGCTCTGAGCGGAAGGTGACCCGCATGGTGGTGATAATCGTGGTGGTGTTCGTCCTCTGCTGGCTGCCGTTCTACATCATTAACATCGTAAACCTGGTGTTCATCCTCCCGGAGAACAGCGTGATGGTAGGGGTGTACTTCTTCGCCGTCATCCTGTCGTACGCCAACAGCTGTGCCAATCCGCTGCTCTACGGGTTCCTGTCCGACAACTTCAAGCAGAGCTTCCGGAAGGTCCTGTGCGTGCGCAAGGCGAATGGCGTGGAGGATGGCGATCCCAGTTTGCCGCGGACTGAGAAAACGACGACCCACGACTCCTTCCTGACACCTCGGAACAATGACTTTAATGGACACGTCCAGGGCAGCCAGGTACAGTCACTCTGAAAGCACATCACACATCGTTTAATGAATTTGTTGAACGTTTATATTCAGAGCTTGACATTAACACCCGTCAATGCGGTGTTTCAGCAGTAGCGTGTAACGCAGTCTCTCCTACTAGCCACTTTGGCGGGTTGAATTTGATTAATTTTTATTACATTTTTCAATTGTAGTCTTTTAAAAAGAGGTCTGCAATAATAAACTAAGTGCAATGTAGTGTTGTCAGAAATATAGATTTTTCGATACTAAAATATCTGAAATGCTTCCAATACTCATTTTCCGCAGAATACACGATACCAGCTGCGCTTTCTCTCTCTCTCTCTCATCTCTCCGACAGCGAGTTACACACAAACCCGCCTCCCCTCACTCACTCGTTTGATTTGCTCCGGATGAATATGTTTATGTTGTATAATTTTACGCAGGTAATTCCCGCAGATTTTGTAGGGCCCTATGAAATCCGTTTTATTTTTTCCCAAATTCCGTTTTATTTTTTCCAAAATTCCGTTTTTTTCTGTTTTAATTTTTGGGAATTAATTTTTTTTTTTTTTTCCCTTTTCTGTTATTTTAGTCAGAAAAAGAGTGTGCTTTTAAAGTTAATGATTAAAATGTATACAAATAAAATAGGAATGACCTTAAATTACAGACATTTACTCACTAGCCTTTTCAGGACAAATACTGCTTCAACATGACACTGCACTCTTCAAGTAACAACAATGGTTATGAGGTTTAAACTGTCCAGTAAAATAAATTATATTAGTTTAAATAAAAGTCACACTCTGTCTCTCTCTCGCCCAGTGTCGCTTGCGGAGTTCGCTTTGCTTTTGTCCAGTCCGGCGCCTCATAGACAGACGCGGTGTGTGTGTGAGAGAGACGCGTGAGTGATAGAGAAACGAAACGCAATATGTGGCGGCCGGAGTTGATTTTGTGGCCGCGAATTAGTCTATGTGTGGGAAACACTGCATAAAAGTCACGTGCGAACTGCTCGGCTCGGTACTGAGGGCTTATAGCGTCGAGTTTCTTAACTTTTTTGCCGAGGAAAGCAGAGCCGTGGAGAGCCGCTTCGCCATGCTTTTATTGTTTTGATGCCGTCATTGGAGCTGAAATGACGGGAGGGGTTGTGTCGCCCAGATTTGCTTCCCCCAGTCTGCATTTTCACCAGACATACGTTCTTCTCCCACGCAAAAACAGAATTTCAATCCAAATATGTAAAATTCCACGAAATTCCGCGTTAACACTAGATTCCGCGTTAATTTGCCAATTCCGTAATTCCGTCCGCGATTCCGTGATTGCGGAAATCATAGGGCCTAATATTGTGCTCACACCCAAATATAACAAAGTCGCTTTGTAGTACTAAATTGAGGTCTTTTTTTGCTGCTTATTATCCTTAAACATTCACATACACACAAAATAATGTCAAAATGCCGGTCTTGGCGAGTATTCACGTAAACACAGTTAGTTTTGGGTTAGTGATGGGGTGGTGATGGCGCAGTGGATAAGACACATGCCTTTGGTGTGAGAGACCTGGGTTCGAATCCACTGTGAGTCACCAATGTGTCCCTGAGCAAGACACTTAACCCCTAGTTGCTCCAGAGGCGTGCGACCTCTGACATATATAGCAATTGTAAGTCGCTTTGGCTAAAAGCGTCAGCTAAATGAATAAAAATGTAAAAAATGTAGTTTTGTTTTAAGAGAATGTAAACAGATGAGAAAGAAAAGGGATGTGTAACAGTATAATGGATCCGTGCGTCAGGTCTTAAAGTGACAGCAGCCTGATAAACCTGCTGCCAAATTATTAAAAATATCTATATGGCAGTTTTTCCCAATGGTGTCGATGTCAAAATTGTGGCCAGTGAAAATGCTGCATGGCTAGTGACTTTGGAAAACCAGTTAATGTCAAGCCCTGATTATATTGCTAGAACAATGATATCTTCAGTCTTAGACATTCTGTTGTTTGCATTTGTCTGATGTGCTGGTTGTTTTAAATCATCAAAGTTTGGTAACACTTTTCAATAAGATTCAAATTGTTTACGTTAGTCAAAGTCAGCATGAAACGGAAGTTGCGACAGTCTTTTCTTCCCTATTGTGACATATCTGAGTGCAACGGCTTCTCGAACAAGAAAAAATTGTTGGGCGTGACGTTATTCTGTCCTTGAGAAATTGATTGGGTGGTTGTGGTTTGCTATTGGTCGATCTCATGCGAGTGACAGGTTGCCCCGCCCTCACGCCAGTGAACACATCATCAGAGAAGTCGCTGAAAGGGGTCACTTTGATCAAAGATTAAAAGATACCTCTTTAATATTATTTAATGGACTTAATCTGACATGAACTAACAGTGAACAGTTATAAATGAACATTAACAAAGATTAATAAATACTGTAACGAATGCTCTGCTCATTGTTAGTAAATGCATATTAAATAATGGGACCTCATTGTAAAGTGTTACCAAAAGTTATCTTGAGTTGGTTGTTTAAGGCACAGTTTGCCCAAAAATGTAAATCCTGTCATCATTTACTCGCCTTTATGTATAATTTCAAACCTATAGCATTTAAGTTATTATCTAATTAGGATCGCTCCTGATCTAGATTGGATTGTGTAACAGCATGAGGGTGAGTAAATGATGACAGAATTGTTACTTTTTGGCCAACTAGTCCTTTAAGCTGTTTTCTAGAATAAGAAGAACAACAGTACAGTTAGAGCCAGTGGGTTTTTGGCCCTTCGCTGCTGTGTTTGTGAATTCTCTGTAGATTACAAACATGTTGAGAATTTCACATTCGATACAGCTGCCAACATGTTGCTCCTTCCTCACTCCCCAAAGAGACAATCTCAGTGAAATTGATTTAGTGGGCAGTAAATGGAGAGAGAGAGAGAGAGAGAGAGAGAGAGAGAGAGAGAGAGAGAGAGAGAGAGAGAGAGAGAGAGAGAGAGAGAGAGAGAGAGAGAGAGAGAGAGAGAGAGAGAGAGAGAGAGAGAGAGAGAGAGTGTTTGTGTGTGTGTGTGTGCGCGTCTTCCTGTCTATCAGTCATAACCCCCTTAGTGCCCTTAGGGAGAACACTACTCTTATGTTCCCAATAAACATTCCCAATGTCCGTGTATATTAGCATCTGTGTGTGAAAGAAAAAGAAAGAAAGGGCTGACCAAAATCTTACGTCAATGTTTCTTTTCGTATCACAGTAATGGTAGGAATAACTATAAAACTTCCAATCAAAATAGTTTGTCACTACATACTACTACAACATATGTGTTATTTGATAGTTTTTATCCCTTTAGAACTATTCTAAATAATATAAAATAAACAGGCCAAATTTCTGACCAGTAGTTATGTTTGTTGGAAATTCAACAAATAAAACGGTGCCATTTGACATTATTACGCACACTTTTTGTGGATAATTAATTAAAATCATTAAATGTAATTATTTATCAATATAAAGTTACTTATATTTTCATTGATGCCAAACAAGAGATAATTCTTCAAACATTTTACGATATATGTTTCGAAAATATTGTGATTATTTATTTTTTTAAATAGTCAATATACACACTTTTCCCCAGGTATCATATTGCT